ATTTTCAGATGTCAATATCCTCTGTTCGGAATGTAATTAAGAAATGGCAGTCATCAGGAACAGTGGAAGTTAAAGCAAGATCTGGAAGACCAAGAAAAATATCAGACAGAACAGCTCGCAGGATTGTGAGAAAAACAATTCAAAACCCACGTTTGACTGCACGATCCCTCCAGAAAGATCTGGCAGACACTGAAGTTGTGGTACACTATTCCACTATAAAGAGATACTTGTACAAATATGGTCTTCATGGAAGAGTCATCAGAAGAAAAACCTCTTCTACGTCCTCACCACAAAAATCATCGTTTGAACTTTGCAAATGAACATATAGACAAGCCTGAGGCATTTTGGAAACAAGTTCTGTGAACCGATGAGGTTAAAATTGAACTTTTTGGCCGGAATGAGCAAAGGTACGTTTGGAGAAGAAGGGGCACAGAATTTAATGAAAAGAACCTCTGTCCAACTGTTAAGCATGGGGTTGGATCAATCATGCTTTGGGGTTGTGTTGCAGCCAGTGGCACAGGGAACATCTCACGAGTAGAAGGAAAAATGGATTCAATAAAATTTCAGCAAATTTTGGATGGTAACTTGATGCCATCTGTGAAAAAGCTGAAGTTAAAGAGAGGATGGCTTCTACAAATGGATAATGATCCTAAACACACCTCGAAATCCACGGGGGATTACATCAAGAGGCATAAACTGAAGGTTTTGCCATGGCCTTCACAATCTCCTGACCTCAACATAATTGAAAATCTATGGATAGACCTTAAAAGAGCAGTGCGTGACAGACAGCCCAGAAATCTCAAAGAACTGGAAGACTTTTGTAAGGAAGAATGGGCAAAGATACCTCAAACAAGAATTGAAAGACTCTTGGCTGGCTACAAAAAGCGTTTACAAGCTGTGATACTTGCCAAAGGGGGCAGTACAAGATATTAACTCTGCAGGGTGCCCAAACTTTTGCAGATGCCATTTTTTTGTTTTCTGTTATTTTGAAAGTGTAAATAATGGAAATAAAATCTAACTTTTGTTGACATATTATAAGAATGTCTAATCTGTAATTTGATGCCTTTTGGAGATTTTTCCATCTTTCCTTGGCTTCATTATGCACATTAATACAAATTTTTAGCTGGGGTGCCCAAACTTTCGATCACCACTGTATATGTGTATATATATATATATATATACACACACACACACACTCACACACATTATATTGCCAAAAGTATCGGGATGCCTGCCTTTACATTCACATGAACTTTAATGGCATCCCGGTCTTATGCAGGCCATAGATGGTTCTTTTAACGGGCAAATTTTCATCCGAAAGAATAATCAGCCGATATTCGCACCGTTAGTGGGGAAATGTCATCGGCTGATTTTCGCAGTTCCTCCTCATTTCTTTTATCGGTCATGCTGGAAAATTCATGAAAAATGTCTGATTTTCGTAATCATTGGTGGCAACAGAACGACCGATGTTTAGTTTTTTTTTCGGCCGATAAACGAACTGTCTATGGCCTGCATTAGTCCGTAGAGTTTCTATAAAGTATTGGGCCAGCCCTCCAAATCATTGGATCCAGGTGTTCCAATCACCTCCATGGCCACAGGTGTATATAATCAAGCTAGATCTATATAAAAAGTGCAGTGCTAAAAAGTATATATTCCAATGAAAGTACAATAAGATATTCCAATAAAATCCAATAAAGTACTCTAATAAAATATGTTATCAATGTATACTCCAGTCCGGATAAAAGTAATATAAGTAAAATTGATGCATAAATAAAATGGTGACAATTTGTGACAAGTGATTCAATACAAGAGTTTTTTGTGACTTCTTGATCCAGTGGTCTGGTGATAAATAGAAGAAATACGCACTCACCAGATGCATATTTATAATACGCATGTAATAAATAAACCAGAGGTCCCCCTCATGGGATGGGATGGACGAGCTGGACCGTCTTAGCGGACTCTCCTTCCTCTGGGTGTAGGGCAGTCACAACGTTGTCAGGCCCCGTGACGTCCATTGCACATTGGTCAGTAATTGTTTTTATCTTATTTTTTAATTGATTACCACGTGGATTAATAAACGCTTATTTTTAAAAAACTACTACACTATGGGCTATTTTTTGCTGGCTCCCAGGTGAGCCAAGCATCCGTTCCAGAGCCCGGGCATCAGGAGTCTGTGATACGTGACACCATTCCTAAGGATGACGCATGCCCTGACGTAAGCTGCCCAGTACCTTGTCCAGTCCCCAGAAGGAGACAACGTTGTGACTGCCCTATACCCAGAGGAAGGCGAGTCCGCTGAGACGGTCCAGCTCGTCCATCCCATCCCATGAGGGGGACCTCTAGTTTATTTATTACATGCGTATTATAAATACGCATCTGGTGAGTGCGTATTTCTTCTATTTATCACCAGACCACTGGATCAAGAAGTCACAAACAACTCTTGTATTGAATCACTTGTCACCATTTTATTTATGCATCAATTTTACTTATATTACTTTTATCCGGACTGGAGTATACATTGATAATATATTTTATTAGAGTACTTTATTGGATTTTGTCACCTGTGCAATAAGTCCATCTGTGACATTTCCTGGCTACTAAATATTTCACGGTCAACTGTTCGTGGAATTATAACAAAGTGGAAGCAACTGGGAACGACAGCAACTCAGCCAGGAAGTGGTAGGCCACGTAAAATGACAGAGCGGGGTCAGCGCATGCTGAAGCACACAGTGCGCAGAAACCGCCAATTATCTGCAGAGTCAATAACACCTCCAGACTTCGTGTGGCCTTCAGATTAGCACAACAACAGTGCATAGAGAGCTTCACGGAATGGGTTTCCATGGCCGAGCAGCTGCATCCAAGCCTTAGGCTACATTCACACTAGCCTTGTTTGCAAGCGGCAGAAAGGCGGTTGGGAAGCGTTTTTAGCGCTTCACAAACGCCTCGGACAATTCTGACCATTGCAGCACATGGTGCTGTTCTAGCAGGAGCGGTAGCGGCGCAGCGTGGTGCGGCAAAACGGACGCCTCTGGTCGAGTCAGGAGGCGTTGAAGCCTCCTATTCTAGTCTATGGTGCCGGAGTTTGCAGTGCGGTTGCAAGGCGTTTGCGTAGCGGTAACAATATTCAAACTTCATTATAGGCATTTGTGGGGCGTTTTAAAACGCTCGGCAAACGCCTAGCAATCGCTGCTGAACCGCACATGCGGCGTTTGCGGAGCGTTAAACGCTACGCAAACGCCGGACCAACGCTTGCCAAACGCTATAGGGACGTTTGGCAAGAGTTGGTAAAACAGTCAAGTGTGAATGAGCCCTTACATCACCAAGTGCAATGCAAAGCGTCGGATGAAGTGGTGTAAAGCACGCCGCCACTGGACTCTAGAACAATGGAAACGTGTTCTCTGGAGTGACCAATCATGCTTATCTGTCTGGCAATCCGATAGATGTGTCTGGGTTTGGCGGTTGCCAGGAGAACGGTACTTGCCTGACTGCATTGTGCCAAGTGTAAAGTTTGGTGGAGGGAGGATTATGGTGTGTGGTTGTTTTTCAGGGGTTGGGCTTGGCCCCCTAGTTCCAGTGAAGGGAATTCTTAAGGCGTCAGCATACCGAGACATTTTGGACAATTTCATGCTCCCAACTTTGTGGGAAAAGTTTAGGGATGGCCCCTTCCTGTTGCAACATGACTGCGCATCAATGCACAAAGTAAGGTCCATCAAATCATGGATGAGCCAGTTTGGGGTGGAGGAACTTGACTGGCCTGCACAGAGTCCTGGCCACAACCCGATAGAACACCTTTGGGATGAATTCGAGTGAAGACTGCGAGCCAACTCAATATGGAACCCTACAGACTAAGACTAGGATGCCATTAAAGTTCATGTGCGTGTAAAGGCAGGTGCCCCAATACTGTTGGCAATATAGTGTGTGTGTGTGTGTGTATGTGTATATATATATATATATATATATATATATATATATATATATATATATACTTTTTTTGTATCCTTTGTTGTGACAAAATCTAATGGGGATTTAAAGTGTTACTAAACCCAGGACCCTGCATTCACTATATCAGGTCTCCCACAGTACACAGAACTTTGAAATGCAATTATTTTAGTAAATATAAACTGCTAAATACATTTTCTCATCAGCAGTTAGAGCAGTCTTGTGACTTCTATCAGTGTTCAGCCGAGCACTGATTAAAGCTTGTAGGAGGAGTTCTCATTATGCACTAGGAGGATGCAGAACCCCTGACCTAAAAAAACAAACCTCTCTAGCAATGCACACTAAAATAAGCATGCGCAGACTGACTCCACACGTCTTAACAAAAGATAAGAGGGAGACACTGGAAGAAGGGAAGGATCAGAGAAGTCACGATCAAACAGCCTTATTACACAATGCAGAGGATGAACCCCCTAAGTTCCACAGTGAGTATAACAAGCATGCTTTACTGCATATACAGACTGATTTTACTGTTGTGGACTTTAAGGAAAACCAACATTTTACAAATATTAATTGAACTCTGGGCAGATATAACATACAAATGAATGCAGCTCTTTAATCATGAATACATTATTAAATGTATTTTTTTTATTGCAAGCAGTATAAGTCCTTTATTGTGACCTGGTTTCAGTGCCATGCAGTCCCTGTACAGCAGAGCTGGGGTGAGAGAGGAAGAATCAAATCATTTCATGTGCTGACGTAGAGTATGCTGATATGAAGAGAAAGCAGAGTGACAGAAACATGAATTCATCCATGTGCTGCTTCTCCTTCACTGTCCTATTACAGATTAGGGTGAGTCCAGGACGACCTGGGCTCAGAGGAAGTGAGGTAAATTATATTGGCCAACCAACTGAGGACAGTTACTGGCAGAAAAACAGTACCGCAGGGAAAATCTTTGAAGTGGTAGATACTGAAGCAAAAGCTGGTTTTTGCTATTTTGTCATTTTGTCTTCAAAATGGGCTTTTCATTTCTTTTATCTGGAACAAAACCAAAATAAAACCCCTTTCTTCTTTTTTTTTTTTTTTTTTTTTTTTTTATTCTTTAGTACACTTAAAGTAACTAAAAAAAAAAAAAAGAAAAGAGAGTATAACGTAAAGTTATAAGCAACCTTTAAAAAAAATTGCATTTTTCTGCTAGGGTAATCATTGAAGAAAATCCAGGGCTTATCTTGGGACAAATGTCCAAGGCATGTGACTGTCCCTAGAAGTTCTGGTCTTCTGGCTGCCATAGTATTCGCTGTACTCCAGAGCCACCTGTCCCAATATAAAGATGATAGTGTTGTGTACACCCCCAGATCACTCCGTCACCAAACTTGCAGGCTTGACAGCTCTCCCTCTGATACTGTGAAAGGATAACAGGATAGAGTTTCTGTTTAATCTGGAATCATGATTTCTTCCAGATGTGGAGCCCAACACTTATGCAGGCCATACATGGGTCGAATTCCAAAAGATTTTTCGTCCGAAAATCGAAAACTACGTTCGCTCAGTAATCCGATGGTGCCATCAATGATTTCGAAAATCGGCCGACCAAGTCATAAAGTTCACCCCATATAACAGGTGAAACTTCTGTTCCTTCCAGGTCACGGCTCATGTGCACATTCTTTTCAGAAAAACAATCGTACAATTTGACCATCGAGTTGCAAATCGGTTGTTTTCATGAATTTTAAAATATGCCCGATCACCGAAAAGGGGAGGAACCACGAAAATCGACCGGTGCCATTGACCCAAAAACAGAGCGAAAATTGACCGATTATTCTTGGGTCCAATTTTCGGAACGAAAAATCAGTCGAATGTTGATGTAAGAGAAAGGAATGGTGCCCCATCGCTGGTATCGTTTGAAAACCTAGTTCTCCATTGTTGGTATCAGTGGGAGGAATTATGCCCCACTGTTGATGTCAGTGGAAGGAATGTGCCTCATTATTGATGTCAGTGGAAGGAATGGTGCCTCTTTATTGATGTCAGTGGAAGGAATGGTGCACCATTTTTGGTGTCAGTGGGGGGGACAGTGCCCAATTGGTGTAAGAGAAAGGAATGGTGCTCCATTGTTGGTATCATTTGAAGACAGTGCTCCATTGATAGTGCTCCCATTGTTGGTATCATTGGAGGACAGTGCTCCATTGTTGGTATCAGTGGGAGGAATTATGCCCCACTGTTGATGTCAGTGAAAGGAATGGTGCCTCATTACTGATGTCAGTGGAAGGAATGGTGCGTAATTATTGATGTCAGTGGAAGGAATGGTGCCTCATTGTTGGTGTCAGTGAGAGGAAGAGTGCCCCATCATTGGTGTTGGTGGGAGCAATAATGCCCTGCTGTTGATGTCATTTGAGGGAACGATGCCCCATTGTTGGTGTCAGTGAAAGGAATGGTGCCCCATCATTGGAATCAGTGGAAGACATAGTGCTCCATCATTGGAAGAAGTAGTGCTCCATCATTGGTATCAGTGGGAGGAATTATGCCCCACTCTTGATGTCAGTTGAAGGAATGGTGCACCATTGTTGTGTCAGTGAGAGGAGTGGGACCCCATTGTTGGTATCAGTGGGCGGAGTTGTGTCCCATCATTGATATCTATGGAAGACATAGTGCTCCATCGTTGGTTTCAGTAAGAAGAATTTGGCCCCACTATTGATGTCAGAGGAAGGAATGGTGCTCCATTGTTTATATCACCGGGAGAAACTATGCCTCATTGTTGATGTCCGTAAAGGAATAGTGCCCCACTGTTGGGCAGGCCATGGATAGAGCGCATTTCTTTCCTGCAACAATGGACCATTGTGCTCTCCTGGCAGAAGGAGCCGTTTCATCCAGGAGAAGACCGTGAATATTGCTGCTTGCAATAATCGCATGTAAAATCCAGCAGGCTGAATGTTGATCAACTTGGGTACATTCAACCTCCCCATACATGGTTTGGATCTTGGCCAGTCCAGCAGGATTTTTAACTGTCTATGGCTGGCTTTGGTGTCAATGCAAGGAATGGTGCCTCATATCTGGTGTCAGTGGGAGGAAGCTCTGGGGTTTGATAAAGGCAAACAAAGAGCCGTAATTTGGAGACCACTGATATGTAGCGATGTAAAGATTGGCCCCTCTGCTACACAGATCACTTGTACTCTGGGAGAGAGAATTGAAATGTAAAAGTCTTGTAAACACACGGTTAAGCATTTCCAGTGTTTAAAATTTTAATGCCCGTCCCCCAGCTGCGGAGGAATTATTGATGTCAGCTGAGAAAGCACTCGCTGTGTTCCTGGTGACGATCCCTGCGGTACACGGTAGAGAGGGCTTTGCTTTTCTTTGCCTGTTTGGTGCCAGAGATGTTCAGATGATCCTACTGTATGGAGTTATGAGGAGATGGAAGGTGTACAGCAGTGCTGGTCTACTCTGGTGAATCTTGGACATTGGTATAGATGGAATAAACCATGTCATCTGAGGCCAGGCAGCATATGATTGACATCAGCACACTAATTATATAGTCACATAATTTAATTTGTAAAAAGCACATGTTTTATTAAAGCCCACCTCCAGGCAATCATCCGTCCTGACTCCCCCAGAGGAGACCGAGGCTCTCACAAAGGAGCCATGTGAGCCCAGGGACCATGAGCAGGGTGTGGGGTTTGCAGAACTTTTTTTTTTTTTTGTACCAGGGACCTGTTAAAAAAAAAAAAAAAAAACAAACTGTGTGTTGAAGAAGCCATATCACTGTCTGATGCTGTAAAACATAATGCACGTTTATGAAACGTATAGGTGACACTTTAACTTCAAGGTGTATATGCCTCTGTGCTCATGTGAATGTACCCATATTTATACCAAATGAAATCACTTATGTATATAATCCAGTTAATATTTGACATACGCATTGTTAATGCCAGCTAAACCTTTTACCCCAGAGGATCACTATTACACTTTTCTTAAAATTTTCTTAAAGCAGTAGTAAACCGCAAAAAAAAGAAGAAAAAAAATGGTCCCCGCAGGTTTAGGTTATAATATATAGTATGCACCACACTGCATATGACAGATTTACATTTACATGGAGCCCTCCAGCACAGCGCTGTCACAGCTCCTCGGTGCTGCCATCTTTACCCAATCTTCCTTCCGGGTTTGTGAGCTCCAGCCATATGAATGGGCGGGGACGAGATGACGTCACTCCCTTGCATGCGCACAGGAGCCCTCAGCTACGGCATGACGTTCTGAAGGTCCGGCATGATATGCTGCCCCTTCAAAGCTCATGCACCGGTGATGTCACAGGCTGCATGTAATGTGAACATCGCCTAAACAGTGCAAGTTTGGGAGATGTTCACTGCCTTATTATAGGCTTCACTGTAGGTTCAGGTTCTAAAATGGACTTAACTGCCACTTTAATTGCCATCTTTACTTTATAATGAGGGCTTTCTGGTTAATTTCTTTTTTTTAAAAAAAAGGGGGGTGCCACATCCCCGTGACCTTTGATCTCTTCCATGTTGTCCAGGTAGATCTCTTCCATGTTGTCCAGGTAGATCTCTGTCCTCTTAAAGGTTGCCTACCACTGCTCTAGACAATCACAATACTGTGAATTCCCAGAATACAATCTCATTACTTAGCCATAACAAGCTCACTCGGAGCAAGATAACCCAGAGTCTCTTGCAGACAGCTAAAAAAAAAATCATTGGCTGCCAAGTGTTATTGGCCATAAAACTATGCAGGCATCATCAGATAGTAGCTCAATCAGCCACACCTAGAAACCCCTATCCAGCCTCTGGAGGGCCCCACTGAACTCTAGTTGAGAATGGCTGCTCTAGACATGTACACTCATGTGAATTTCCAGAATACCATTTAATTACTTGGCCATAACAAGCCACCAGTCTCTTGTTTGTTCCCAAATAGCAAACCTATACCTTTCACGCATCCAAAGTTGAAGAAGCTGAGTCTAGGACCATAACCACCAGGCCTGTAGTCCTACTGAAGCCATGTTCAGAATTCCCCAACAATGCATTGGTGAGAAGGGTACAGTCCACTGTTAAAACAGGCAAAGTAAGGCAAGGCGCAGTGGTGGACACACTCTAGTCCAGCACTGGCCATTTCCTGTAAAGCCTACATCCCATCAAGGCCACAATAATGTTTGGTGATGCACCACACCATTGAGCCATGAAACTTAGGGCTCATTGCACACAAACATGATAGGAACACAGCAGTATTGTATTCTTTGGGAGTATGCACACTGGTCTGTTTTGGTCTGCAGCATTCAGCTGTATAAGGGCTCTTTCACACGGATGTTCCGATCAGGTCCGCCTGCACGTTTTCAGGTGGATTCGATTGGAACCTCCATTCTCCTCTATGGAGTGGCGGGTGTAAACACACGTGTCAGTTTACACCCGCCAACATCTGATCTACCAAAAAGGGATGGATGAGGATCCAATTCCCATTCCGTACTGTTCGCCTGCACGTTTTTCAGGTGGACTCGATTGGAAACTCCATTCTCCTCTATGGAGTGGCGGGTGTAAACACACGTGTCAGTTTACACCCGCCGACATCTGATCTACCAAAAAGGGATGGATGGGGATCCAATTCCCATTCCGTACTGTTCGCCTGCACGTTTTTCAGGTGGACTCGATTGGAAACTCCATTCTCCTCTATGGAGTGGCAGGTGTAAACACACGTGTCAGTTTACACCCGCCGACATCCAATCCACTAAAAAGGGACAGATGGGGATCCAATTCCCATTCCGTCTATCAGATCGGATGAAAACGGACAGGCGGTCCATTTTCATCCAACCACTCATTGAGGAGAGCGAGTAACTCTGTGTCCGCTCTGCAGCAGCGGAGCAGACACAGACCTGCCATCTGCTTGCTCAGCAGGGATCAGCGGAGAGATCCCCACTGAGCAAGTGGATCCACTAAACGGGTCTGCTCCGTTTGAAAGGATCCTAAAGCAAAACTAGATGGATCTGGATTCCTGCGTATAGACTGTATTTTATGTTCTATGCGTGTGAGGTTTGTGTTAACATTAACATGAGAGCAATGTACATGGACCCTATTGACCGCTGCTCAGGGCCACCATGTAAAGAACAACAAGGTATTGCCAGCCACCACTGATTACACACCATATATAGTCATTCATGTGACACATGAGCCGAATGTCCACAGCTTTCGGTCATTCAGAGTGGGCCAAGGTCATTTTGCGTATGCGCTGCAGCATGAATGACCAACTAATTCAAGGCGGACATGAGCCACTAGCGCCCAGTATTGTGTTATCGGTGGCGGTGGTGCTGATGGCTACGCATTGTTGATAATTACAGTTGCAAGAAAAAGTATGTGAACCCCTTGGGATTACGTGGAGTTTTGCATGAATTGGGCATAAAATGTGCTCTGAACGTCATCTAAGTCACAACAATAGAAGAACACAGTCTGCTGAACATAATACTACACAAACATTAGATGTTGCCATGGTTTAATTGCACATAACATGTAAACATTCACAGTGCAGGGAGGAAAAAGTATGTGAACCTTTGGACTTAATAACTGGTTGACCCTCCTTTGGCAGCAATAACCTCAACCAAATGTTTCCTGTAGTTGCAGATCAGACCTGCACAACAATCTGGAGTAATTTTGGACCACTCCTCTTCACAAAACTGTTTCAGTGTAGCAATATTCTTGGGATGTCTGGTGTGAAT